TTTAGAAGCATTTGTTGATTGTAGAAAAATTTATGGGTTTCATAAATTGTCCTCTTTAACTTGTTTTTACTATTTGTTTGTGTTTGTATCTGTGTGTTGTGTGTGTGTTTGTGCTTTTGTGTGTGTGCCTGCCACAGCACTTGTGTGGGGGTCAGAGGAGAAAGCCTGAGTCAGTTGCTTCTCTTTCTCCTTTCATGTAGACTTTAAGGACTGAACTCAGGTCACAGGCTTGGCCACAGTGTCTTTTCCTATTAAGCCATCTGATGAGCACAGTTACCTTCTTTTGATAAAGAGCGTGGTCAGATACCACTAAGGATAAGGCTGAGGTAAGTCAGCAACACTGTGTCCTTTCTATGCACGTGGGCCCCTGAGTCCTGTCTCCCAGGTGACTTCCTAGAGTCTCCTTGCTGTTGTCACTCTTCTGTGTCACCTTCTTCCCTTGATTTGTTTCTTTGGACAAATATTTGCAGAGCAGCAACGCTGTGGAAGAAACGGTGGCTGGGCTTGGGAGCCACCAAGACCACTCTGACAAGCTCCAGCCTTCTGACGCTCACAGCCTGGAGGGGGAAATGGAGAAATAAACAGATGAGCACATTCTGGGCTAACAAAAGGACAGAGCGAGGGCATCTCAGCCTTGTTTCCCGACAATCTGCCTCCTGCCATTGCTGCTGGGAGCGGAAGCCGGCAGACTTGTTTAGACGAGGGGCGATTGCCAGGAGCTGTCTACCGAGCAAGCCAAGACCAGGGTCTCCATTCTTTAGCTCTTTTCCTCCTTCGCTGGGTCTCCCTCTCGCCTCTCTCTGTTCTTTGGACGTCTCTTCTTTCTCTTTCTTTTCTCCAGGTTCTCTACAGGCCTTCACAGGGCCTTCCCCAAGCGCTCATCCTCCGAGCTTCATGCCTCAGGATATCCTGACCCAGATTCGGGAAACTGACATTAGGTACAATGACGTAATTTCCTGTCTCTCCACTGCTTCAGTAGTGAGCTGGACGTGTCTCAGGGTGCTTCCCTCTTCAAACACACTTGTCTGAGGGGGAGGCTGAGATTATGGGAAACCCAGAGAGATCAGAGTAGGTGCCCAAGGCTAGGGAAAGCAGGCCTGTGGGCAAGGAAGTGCTGTATGGAACAACTCCGTCCAGATGCCCATGTCTTCCTCAGGTCAACAATGTCCTGAAAACAGTGTCTGGTGCCAGGAAACGAGTCTGAATCTCCAAGGGAAGAGTTTGATCAAAGCAGCTTTCTTGTTTCTTTCCCAGTAACCCCATTATCCTCTCCTACCCGTCCCTAAGAGACTTAAAGCTCCGTGGTTTTCAGAATACAGTTACTTCTGGGTCTGAGAGTGATGTTATTTCATGCTCTTAATGCATGGGGAGACAGCAGAGTCGTGTGGCTGCTTCCCTTTCTGGCTCTGCCCTTGGCTCAGAGCAAGGTCTACCTTCTGTCTTTGTTACCTTGCTTCCCTACCCCCCCCCCCCCCCGCCCCGTCTGCCTCCTCACAAAGCTGCCCCTCAGCCGTTTCTTGGCTTCTCCCCTGGATAAAGCTCCCTGAGTGCTACTGTCAGTTTGGGAAGATGTGCTCAGTGCTTTTGGGGAACTTGCAATCCATGGAGGAAAACACCTGTCAATGGGGCTTTGTGCCACTTCGAAAGCAACACGGTTCTTTTAAGAATCATGCAGCGGAGAAGGCTCAGTGGTTAACAGTGCTCACAGGGAACTAGAGTTAAATTCTCAGCGCCCACCCAATGGCCCACAACTGTCTGTAACTCCAGTTCCAGGGGTCTGACGCCCTCTTCTGACCTCCATGGACCCTGCATTTATGCAGTACATAAACACACAAGCAGGCAAAACACTCCACACATAAACAATTTTTCAAAAAGGTTTTTTATTTTTTATTTTTTTTTATTTTTTTTGGTTTTTTCGAGACAGGGTTTCTCTGTGGTTTTGGAGCCTGTCCTGGAGCTAGCTCTTGTAGACCAGGCTGGTCTCGAACTCACAGAGATCCGCTTGCCTCTGCCTCCCGAGTGCTGGGATTAAAGGCGTGCGCCACCACCGCCCGGCTCAAAAAGGTTTTTTAAGTTCTAAAATGCCATGCCTCCTACATGGGATGACTCTCTTTCTCCTCCTTGAACTCAGAGGAGTGCAAGTTGATCCTTTAAGGAAAGGGGAGGCTTGGGACAATGCAGGAGGTAAGGGTAGATCTTTGCTATGAAGAAAGACACAGATTTTCAATGAGCAGAAAACATATTGTGGGGGCAGAGTTGGGCCTGGCACACTGCCTGGCCTTAGGACCAACAGTCACATGGTATGATGACGTTAGCAGGGTGACGTCGACTTCTAAAGGATTCCTCTGCCCAGTTTACTGTCACTTCTTCAAAAAAGTAGCCAAGAACTTGCCAAGCGCACCGCAGCACACACATCCCTCTATGGATGCCAACGCTGATTGGATGCTCTTGGGTAGAAATTTCCGAGAATCTGTGGGTGAGGAGAAGAGGCTGTGGTACACAGGGTGAATGGCAGGTTGGGAGCAGGATTTTTGAATAGGCTGCCATGGTGCTTTGCATATAATATTTGAACCAAATTATATAAATAGGGAGCATTTAGTGTTGACATTTTACCTTTTCAGTCAGGTCTAGGATAGTTTACAAAGTCATCCGCAAGATGCTTAATTGAGGCCTCTGTAACCAAGGCCAAAACACGGACCAGGAAGCATCCTTCCCCTTCAAGCAGAGGACCAGTCAGTTCCATTTGGGCATGCTCAGGAAAAGCCAGAGAAAGAATACATTTCACCTAAACCCTGAAAGGCAAAGTATTTGCACAGTACATAGAGTGGGTGAATGGGAAGACGTTAGACACGAATGGGACTGTGGGAGGACTTGTGGGGTTGGGGGGGTCTAGAAGCAGAACCACGGGTATTTGACTGTGAATCCTCAGGTCCAACATAAGGAAGAGAAGGCTGCCAGGGGTAGCATACTGGGGGGAGGAGAGCTAAGGAGAAGCTCATCCAGAGACCCCACCACTTGGGAGGAGTTTCTAGGGGTCTTCACTGTGTCCTCTGCCAGCTCAAGGGGATGTTTTGGGGATAAGGACCTGTGCAGATAGATCATCAGAGAGTCTGTTACAAATGGAACTTTGTAAAAAGTTGCTCACGGAACTGTCATAACCCAAGGGCGGTTCTGTATCTTCCCCTTTCAGCAGCTTAGTCTTCCCCAGGCTCCTCCCAGAGCAAGACTACAGCTTTAGAAAAGACTTACTTGAGGGTCATTTCCCTTTTATTAAGGTATGCTTGGTGATCATTCAAACAACACACATGGGAACTACAGCCCCCTATGCAGAATAAATTATGAACAGTAGATGGCAGAAGCTGCTGTCCGGCCAGCAGGGCTCCCATGGCTAAGCACCTGGAGGCTCATGAGGTGTCAGCAGACCCTGAGAGAATGTTTTATGTTAAATGCACCCCTCCTCCCAAACCCAAACTCCTTCACAAAACCCACACACAGCCCAGATGCAGGATGGCAGCCAGGGCAGGAGATGACGGGTTAAACAACAATTGAAGTGGACCCGCTTGACTTCCCTGCAGCTTTAGTGGCGGGTGGGTTTCCGGATCTCACTCCTTATCAACTCCGTGCCTCCCCTGGAACTGCAGGCGCCCCAGCAGTGGAAAGAGGGGGTGAAGAACTTGGCTTTGTCCTCTGAGACTGCAGGCTGAGCACATCTTCAAAGTTCACTCTGCTCATGTTTAGCTCTCTCCTCAGTCTCGCCAGCCACTTGCAGAAGAATGAATAGAGAGATGCGTCCCTGGGGAAAGCCATCAGCAGTGCAGGCAAACTGGCAGAGGCCAGTCACTTTCCAGCACTGTGGTGCTGGGGAGACATTGCATTTCCCCAGTCCCATGGTCCCTAGCTGAAGAAATAAGGGCATCCATCTATTTTAAAGGGGTGTCGTGAGGAACTACTAGAATTTGCTATTGCCAAGTCCCAAGCGAAATGTTCACAACCTTTTGTCTTTCTTGCCTTCTTTCCTTCCTTTTTTTTTTTTTTTGTATTTTTAGTTTTAGACAGGGTCTCTCTACATAGCCCTGGTTGTCTTAGAACTCATTCTGTAGACCAGGCTGGCCTCGGATTCACAGAGATCCACCTGCCTCTGCCTCTGCCTCCCGAGTGCTGGGATTAAACGCTACTCCTGGCCCTTCATTTCTTCTTTTCTATTTCCCCATTTTGAGCAATAATTCTCCCAGCACAGACTGCTGCTATGTGTTCGCGTAGAACAGTGTCACTAGGAAGCAGCAAGAAACGGGTACTATTGAGTGCACTGAGAAGACTATGGGCACATGTTAGGAAACTATTGGGGATCATGGTGAGTGAGGCACCACAATAGTGGCTGGACAGGAAGAAGCAGGGTAGGAAGTGCTGAACTGACTTGAACCAGAAGTTGGAACCCTGAATCAGTGATGCTTACGGCCTTCAGCAGCAAGCAAGTCACCCTTCCTACAGGTTGGACAGATAACAGCGTAGGTCTGGTCACTGAAAGGCTAATTTGGTGGGTCACAGTGGTTCTGCGTAGGCTTATCTACCTGGCAGGTCTGGCCACTGAAAGGCTAATTTGGTGGGTCACGGTGGTTCCGCAGAATTTTCCCATCCATCAACGCATCTTTCTGTCCATCCAGCCAGCTAGCCACTTGGTATACATTCAGAGTTTCGTAGAATCCAGGCTGAGTTGAATGGACAGCTCTGTCTGCTCATTTAGCACCTTCAGGGTAAGGAGGTCTACAGTCCCTCACCAAAGCTCTTCACAGGAATGCTGAGGTAGTAGCGGGGTGGACAATGCCCTTCTTTTCATAGACTGAGACGTCTTCAAAGTAAGAGTGAACACAGCAAAAACCCAGCCGAGGTTGGTCAAGGCTGGCGCCGATCTGGTCCTCGAAGACAGATCTAGCTCTCCTGCCACGATTGCCTGTTTCTAGGGGACCCAGACTGGCCTCTGGCCAGCCCTACCTTGCTGCTTCTCACACTAGTGTGGGTTTCAAGTCATCTTTAAAGTTCACAACAGGCTTGGAGCGGGACCACAGCTTTTCCCAGGAGGCTCGTCCTGAAGCCTGCTCAAGGTCACTGTCTGAGGTGTCGCTGTCACCAGAGTCTGAAGAGCTCTGGAAGCAGAGTTCACAGTAGGGCCGGTGGCAGCGACAAAAGAATTCGTCTGAGCTGCTGGACTCACTGTCCAGGTTGTAGCACCCAGAGGACAAGGCAGGATATCCAGGGGACGCTGGGAGTCGAGACTGACGGTGCCTGGGCAGACCTGGTGAAGAGGGTGGGCGTGGGGCAAAAGCGGAAGGTTGGCAGGGAACGCTCACATCGCATCCTCCATTCCCCTGAGGCTCGGGCTGGCATCGCTTGCTATCCTCTAGGGCACTCCGTCTTTGGGGAGGATCTGTGAGTGGTGACAGTTTTACAGAAGAGGACCGTGGTACCTTGGACCTCGCATTTTGGTGGTCCAGCCTGGGGCTGTCCCGGCTCTGCTCAACCAGCCCGCTTTGCGCATCAAAAACCGCCCTATTTGCCTGTTGCCCCATATTGAGGGCCACAGAAGCAGGGATATGGGAGCGAGCCCGCTGGGCTGCCCGTCTCCTCCTCACCACATATGGGCTGAAACCCAGTTTAGATGGGGACAGCTTCTGGGGACTGCGGGAAGTGGTGCTCTTCCAAAGCTGTTGGGAACAAGGTAGTGGGGAAAGGGGAGCCTCGGGGCCCAGGTCCAGCTCTTGTAGGACTTCCTGAAGCTTCTCTCTGACCACTGAACTGACCCGAGGTGGCCTCTCTGGGACTTCCTCTGAATTCTGCTTGGGCCTATGGGGGTTACACCCCACTCCATCAGGCATGAAACTCTGGCTGGGTGTCATGGGTCCCTGATCACCTCTTTCTGGACCCTCACTTTGTTCAGCCTGTGGCTTTGGGCTGCAACCTCTGTCCAAATGATCACAGAACTGTTTCAAAGTCACGTTATCCTTTTGGTCTCGGGAAGGACTATCGTCCCTTTTAGATGCCCCAGGGCTTTTCAGGTACCGGGAGGCCACCGAGGCATGCAGGGAGTCCTCCGCAGCTGCACCGACAGCATTCTCAGAGGCAGTGGGGTGTTCTGAAGGTCCCTGAACTGCCAGCCCATGGGCCGAGGCTGCATGTGGGACAGTCCATTCCGGGGAGTCGTAGGAGCACTCCGAAGACATCAGCTTTACTATCTTCGCCTTGGCGTTGTTGACTTGTTCTTGCAGGCTTTCGATTACTGCGTTTTTCTGTGGAATAAAAGCAAGACCATCAACAAAAGATGCTTCTAAAGGCCTTCTGCGGTGGAAAATGTGACACTGGAGACCCTGCTTAAATCCCAGTTTTTCCAGTGCCCTGGTTGGTGACCTTAAGCTTAGAGGCAGGACTTAACATTGGGTGAACTAACTAGGCCTGCCAAGTGTTTAGCACAGGCACGGGTATGTGGTTCCCAGAAAGGCAGTATGGGCTCTCCTCCCAGCCCTGGACTATGCACTGCTGTCTGTGAGGATGAAGGGGGCCCAGCCTCAAGGCTTGCTGGTAGCTGCAGTATCGTCTCATTTCCCCCAGCCCCAAGAGGGTCAGGTTACTCTGAGGAAACCAGACTGAAGAGGGATCGGGATTGTTCAGCTCGGCCTTCTCAGACTTGTAGGAACCACAGATGAATCTGAAGCGCGTCTCTCGGGATGACCACAGAGAAAACAAACGCTTTGCCTCTTGTGAAACAGCCCGGAGAATGGGAAGGAGAGGGAGATACCATTCATACCGGAACTACGTGAGCCAACGAGGATCTCAAGGCAGCTTCAACTCATCCTTGGAAGTGGCAGGGTCTCCTGGAGTGATGGGCCTCAGGGACCAACTGGCTATCACTAGCTCTTAAAGAAGTGTGTGTATCAGCATTATTGTAGCTTAACATGTAATAATAGCAAGAATGGCAAGCAGGGTTACATCAGAGTAAAAGTCTACTAAGAAGCACAGAGAACAACCCAACGATGACCGATAGAACCAGAGAGGTTTGTTTGTCATCAATTCCTCTACGGAGGGCCAATGTGCAGAATATAGAAAGAACCTAAAAACTACTCAGCAATAAGGACTCAAAGAGTCCAATTTTAAAATGGGTGGACGATCTAAATAGGTACTTCTCTAAAGAAAAAAATACGAGTAGTCAATACATATATGAAAAGATACTCAACATATTTATCCATAAGGGGAATACAAAAATCAAATCACATGAGAAATAACCTTATCCAGTTAGGATGTCTGTAGTTAAAAACGCTGGTGAGGGTATGGAGAGCACAGAGCCCTTATACGATGTTGGTGGGAATGAAATTAGTACAGCCACTTTGGAAATCAAGGCAGCGGTTTTCAAAAAACTAGGAGTAAAACTACCAGGTGACCTAGCTATCCCAGTCCTGAGTAGACAGAGAGCCAAAGGAAATGAAATGGCTATCGTTACCATCCTGCCATGCACTGACTGCAAAGCACAAAGGAGAGAACCAGCTGAGGCGCCCGTCAACAGAAGAGTTAATCAAGAAAATACAACACACATCAACAGAGTGTTATTCAACTCTGAAGAAGTATGACGCCCTGCCATTTGTAGAAAAATGGGTGGAATTTCAGGACATCATGTCAAGTGAAATAAACCAGACCCAGTCAAATGGTTCATGTTATTTTTCCCTCAGGTGTCGATGCAAAAAGAATAATGACCTAAATTAGAAAATAGGCTATTAGGAACTAAGAAGGAAGTGTGTGGGGGTTGGGGGGAGAAGTAAGGTGGGGGAGAAGGTGCGGATGGCCATGATCAATGCAGACTGTACACAGGCCCAGGAATATCACAGTGAGTCCCATTAATTCCCAAATTAATCCGTGATAACTTAAGAAAAGGCTTGCTAGAGGAGCTGAAAGCAGATCGCTTGATTAAGTAGCTCTAGAACCCAGTGCAGAAGGCGAAGGAGGCCGGAGCAGTTCTGCCGTCCTGTGCAGATGTCAGTGAGTCAACAGGCTGTGCCCCAGAGGGCAGGCAGGAGACAGCTGCAGAAGTGTGCCTGTCCTAACTGCACGCTGTGGGGCAGGAAGCAGACACGGGTGTGAGCTGCCGCTGGGTGTCTGGGCATGCCCACACTCTAGCCGAAGTGGAGGGCAGCAGTGAACTGTCTAGCTCAGAATGTGTGTTCTCCCACGCTCAAGGCAGAGCAGCGGTGAAAAGTGTCTCATGAGGAATGGATGGGCTGAGGAAGATGAAACAGACTCTGGGGAAAATGGTCTGGCAAGCACTGGGTTCCAGCAAGATTTGTCTGGATAATTCAGTGCTGATCTTGTGGCTGCCTCCTTTTTAGGAGCTAACGACCAGTACTGAGATACCCTTTATCATGCCTGGAAACAAAAGAATGCACTCTCTCTCTCTCTCTTCCTCTACCTCTCCCTCCCCCCCCCCCCCCCTCCAGGGTTTCTCTGTGTAGCTTTGGAGCCTGTCCTGGAACTTGCTCTGTAGACCAGGCTGGTCTCGAACACACAGAGATCTGCCTGCCTCTGCTACCAAGCGCTGGAGTTAAAAGTGTGCACCACCACTGCCCTGTCTGGACTCTGCCTTACAATAATAAAACTCCAGTCTGGGGGGATGGAAAGATGGCTTAGAGGTTAAGATTGCTGTTCCAGAGGTCCTGAGTTCAGTTCCCAGCAACCACATGGTGGCTCACAATCATCTGCAATGAGATCTGGCGCCCTCTTCTGGCCTGCAGGCATACATGCCAGAACACTGTATACATAATAAATAAATACATTAAGGAAAAAAAAGTTAAAACTCTAGTCTGGCCATGGACAGAACCTAGGCTTGCTTAAATAAATTACATTGAAAAGTTGACCAGAAATGATTCTTTTTGGTTTTGAGACAGGGTACCCCAGCTGGCCTAAAACTCACTATGTAGCCCAAGCCGCCCTCAGATTCATGGCAATTCTCCTGTTTTGATATCCCAAGCGTTAAAATTACGGGCATGCACACCACACCTGGTCAGAAATGACAATTTAAGGGAGGAAGGCATGGAATACAACCTTCCAATAAACCTGCAGTGGCCTGTAAGTCCCTGTCCCTGGGCAAAACCAGGAGGTGGTATTTACTGGTGCTGGCTTTCCTGTTCTTCCTTGCCATCAGAAGAGAAGCCAAGGCCAGTGAGAGACTGATGGAGCAGGCAGAAGGGACTTTCAGAGGAGTTCCCACCTGCCAGGTCTCCCTCCCCCTCTTGAAGTGATGTAGATCCGCTGGTTGGTGAGGGGAGACTCACCCAGAACAGAGTCCACGAGTGACAGGGGAATTTGTCAGGTGGCTCTAAGGACCTCACAAGGTAACCATGGTGGTAGCTGCTCAGTAGAGACTTGATCCCCTTCTTCCTCCCCCAGCGCCCATTCCTGAAACCCACCCTGCCAGCCTCAGCAGGCAGGAAGAAGCCGTAGCTGATGAGCCCACTCTAGGGGTGAAATGGGACTTCTGTCTCCTTGTGCTTTCTCTCCAAATGGCTTTGAGTATAGGAAACTCTTATGAACATCCAGATGAGAACGCCCTCCTCCCAGCTCACCAAATGTCTGAAGCTGGCTGACTACCGATTTAGAAACATCAATGTAAACAGTCAATTTCCCTTCTTCCACAAAAGGAAGCAAGACTGTGTTTTCACCGCGGCTTTGTTAATTAGAGGCGTAGTGTGAGGTCCTGCCACAAGGAGATCTGTCCTCTTGTGGCAGCAGCTTTTACACGAATATTTAAATCATTGCTTTGGTCTACGGTGACATGGAAGAGGAAACGGACCCTAGGAGTCCACATCTCACGTCTCTAGTACCAGGACAAAAGAAAGGGTCGCCAGCACAAGGGACAGTCTGCCCATTGCTCTCTTGCACACTGGTGCAAGAGAAACGCGCTGTGCGAGAGGCCAAGAGAAGACCTAATTGTGGTGGTGCATGCCTGTAATTCTAGTCCTTGGGGAACTGAGGCAGGAGGATCGCAGTTTAATGGCAACCTGGTTACACAGACACTGTCTCAAAAACAAAAGCAAATAGAAAAACACAAGACACAAATGAGAAGCTGGGCTGTCAAATCATGGCAACTGCAAGGGAGGTCTAGTGAGCTTAGACCAAACCCTGGCTAGGCGGGTGCTGTCCTGCATAAGGAAAAGGCAGCAGGGGTAGCACCCAGGATGAAGAGCCAACCATGCCCTGGCTGCCCACCTCTGGTCGCCAGGACTGGCTACTGGCTCTCGGGCCTGTTCTACGGAAGACGCTCTGGCATTGCCAGCGCAACAGAAGCCGTGTTTTGCTGCTAATGTACTCGAGCCTGCAAAGGGCTCTTGCCCTGCAGACTCAAGGTTTCTTTTGGAAAGAGCACATTCAGCCACTGCGTGGGAAACAGGGTAGCATGGCAGAGGTACAATAAGCTGCTCAAAAAAATTACCATAAGGCTAAAGAATCCGTTCCAGTCCATTTGGCCGTTCCAGTGTTAGCTGATTGTAAATGAGGACCGCCCTGCTGAGTCTAGCCAAGTTTCAGGCCTTCTGTTTATCGGGGGAAAATATTTCTTTAAAAACTTTGCAGAACACCAGAGGCAGGGCCACTGCATTGCCAGGTGGAGAGACAGCAGGCTTTAAAATAATGCCCAGAGTGATTAATAAAGAGGGAAGAAAAGCAGAGGTTTCTCTGATGGGTAAAGAAGACCCAGAGGGGAGGGTATATTGTAGGAGGCCGAGAAGCAGGGCCCCATGGGTGCTGACCAGGCTTGGCCTTTCATCTGGGCATGACTATGTCTAAGGTTTCTCCCGCACTGTACTCTCATGAGGATGTTCATGCTCAGGACACAGTCCTGCTATCAAAAACAAGTTTGCTTTCCCTAATAGCACTAACTCAGGCATGTTTTGCATATATATGCATACACACACACACACACACACACACACACACGTAATTTGACTTAATTTGTGTCAAAATACTAATTCCTTCACCTGGCCTGTACTGCCTTCTTATGGAGCAGAGTCCTCAGGGTTTTCAAGTCCACACTATGCTTGTCTGGGAGAGGGGCCAATTCTGGTTTAAGTACAGAATAAAAAAGGCCCGGCCGGGGCACCCAGGCTGCCTTGATGCTGTGGTGACCTTCAGAGACCCGTATTCACCCCACTCCCACCTGTAGACACATCGGGAAATGCTGGGCACTGAGAAGGTTGAGCTGCCCCAGAGAGGCCCCATCATGTTGTGGACACAATGTCATGACTGTACATAGAGAGCGCTCACACAGATCCTAGTCGCTAGAGCTCAGGGTCTTTCTAATGCTCGTCCCTCTGCATGGGTTTGTTTTGTTTTTTTGACTCATTCCCTGGCCAATTGGTCCTCATCATTAGTCTTCATCCAGAGCCTTTTCTGACTATTCTGCTGGGTTTCTTTTCCCCCCTTCCCCAGCCCATCGCTCTCACTTATCAACCTGATTGCTTCTTTCCTGGTTGTCATCACTGTTTCAATTCTTTCCTTTCTTTGGTTCTGGAGCATGTGGGATTGCTCCCACGGGGTTGAAGTTCCTCACAGGGAGCCTGCGAGGCAAGGTGAGGCTTACTTCTGTGAGAAGCCTCTCCATGCAGCTCTTCTCATCCCTCAGGTGGCCGTTCTGGTCCTCATCAAACTGGCTGTGGAAGGGTTTGCTAGGCGTGCTGAAATATTTGGCCATGCGCTGGGTTGTTTGGTTTTCTCCTTCAAATGCCTTCCATTGCTTCAGCTGTTAGTCAAAAGAACACATGTTATTTATTTAATCGCACGCCCAGAAATACTTCCCTTGCTCTTGCTCGTAAATACCAAGGGACGACACTGTCACCAACACACATATGCACGTGCTATTTACCCCTTGCAACGCCGTTTGCTCTGCAGTGTCCATGGGCAGTAATGACAGAAAACACGGACGATGTTAAGGTGTCATGCTTTAAAAATGCCCAAGAATAAGACAGACTATGATACAGAGCAGCCTCTCTGGGGTCAGAGTGTCAAAGGAAATCAGAGCAAAGATGTGTCTCGAGCAGTGTTCTAAACTCCTGGTTGGAAGCTGACTGAACAAGAACATGTCTATGATGCTTATCCTAGTGTGTAGTTCCTCTTGGCATTTTCAGTTGTTGAGGAACGATGTGTTAATTGTTGGAGGCTTTCTACTCCAAATTAATGACCAAAGACCAAATAAAAACCCACAGGTTCCCAAAAAGAAAAACAAAAACAGAATGTCAGGCATGACACATGACCATATTTTCAACAGTGAAAATGGGTAGGAGTGTGACTTTTCCACGGTCACACGTCACTTTTGACAGCTGGAATCAGGGCCACCACACTTTGGATTCTCATGTAACTGATGAAGAGACAGAACGTTGGGTATCCAGAAACTGTTTTGGGGGAGCACTCGGTAGAGGCATGGACTGGTCAACTTTCATAGTGTCAGAAGTGAGCTAGAACATTCTCAGACAGGAGTCTGCTACAGAGTTGCAGGGACACTGTATCTACCTAGCAAGTGTCGATGACGTGAATGACAGGGGACCATTGCAATAGAGGCAGAGACCTCTTATCTTTGGCATCTCAGTATCCCTGCTGGAGCCATGCTGGCACTGCTGCCAAGGACTAGCTCAACATAAGCACAAGGCCATGTTAGCCTTGGGTTTAGCTCACGTAAGCTGGTGGAGCCATGGCACCATTTGACCAAAGTCCTCCAATCCCTTTCAGTTCCTTCTTTTGGAAGGTCCTGGTCCTCAAGATTCGACTCTTTGCATTTTCTGGGATATCCATAATCAATCCTCAAGGAGCAAAACACTTCCTCCAAAGGACCAGCAAAAAAAAAAAAAAAAAAAAAAAATTCTGGCTTCTGGGTGACGTGAGTGCTATAGCACATGTTCTGGCTACTCATGTCTCTTACCTGTCTCTGAGTCCTTGCACCTGGTTGACTGTTGTCTCAGACGGCCAATGGAATTTCGTGAATGTAATGTTAAGGTTGGGGATGGAAGGATTATTCAGATAGGCCATTGTCATTAAAGAGTCCATATAAGTGAGGAGGAGGAGAGTCAGAGAAGAAGGTGTGGGTAAAGAGAGAGAGAAGGGATGGCCATGAAGATGCCTCTCTGCTCGATCAGAAAGGGGAGGGAGGACCATGACCTAAAGAAGACAGGGGGCCTCTAGAAACTGGAAAAACCAAGAAATGGATTCTCCTCTTGTCTGAAGAATAAATACAGATCTATGGATACTTTGGTTATAGTCAAATAAAACCCATTTCAGATATCTGCCCTACAGAACTGCAAGACTGGTGGTTTGAAAGAGAATGGCCCCCAAAAGGAGTGGCATTATTAGGAGGTGCGGCCTTGTTGGAGGAAGTGTGTCACTGTGGGGGCACACTTTGAGGTCTCTTTTGCTCAAGCTTCCCTCAGTGTGACTGTTAGTCAACTTCCTGTTGCCTCTGTCAAGATGCAAGGATTGTTAGCTCCAGCACAGTGTCTGCCTGCGCACCATCATGCTCCCTGCCCTGATGATAGTGGACTGACCCTCTGAAACTGTAAGCGAGCCACCCCAATTAAATGTTTCCTATAAGAGTTGCTGTGTTCATGGTGTCTCTTCCCAGTCATAGAAACCCTAAGACAAAAACAATACATTTGTTTGGTTTAAAGCCACTGGTGATTATTACAGCAGCCACTGGAAGCCGGTACCCGTGGGAATCTGTGTGGCATCGGGCCACACTGTGCTTCTAGAAACCCACAGAGCTGCCCCTCTACCCTCTCACCTTATCTCCATTTCAGAACTAGCAGAGAGGCTGGAGAGATGGCTTAGCAGTTCAAAACACTGACTGCTCTTCTAGAGGACCCCAGTTCGGGTCTCAGCACCCATGTATTGGCTTACAACTGTCTGTAACTCCAGTTCCAGGGGGTTTGGTACCTTCTTTTGGACTCTGTGGGCACCAAGAATGCACATGGTGCAAAGACATACATGCGGGCACATAAAAGATTAATAAAAATAAAATTAATTGAAAAATAGCAAAGAGTGGACTGGCAAGATGGTACAGTGGGTAGGGGTGCTTGTCATTAGGCCTGGTGACCTGGGTTCACTCCCAGGAACCCCCACAGTGAAAGGAAAGAACCAGTTCCTCCTGAAAGTTGTCCTCTGACCTCCCTCCGTGCTCCATGGTATTCATGCATACACATATATGCACACACATACACATATGCACACACATACACATATGCACACACATACACATATGCACACATATGCACATGCACATACACACAAATAAAAGTATTTTTAAATACAATAAAATGAAAAGAGTAAAGTCTGGATATTCCTTCCCCGGAGTTGTCCCACTCTTACGAGTTTTTTCTCACTTTCTGTCTTATTTCTTTCTACCTGCTTGCTGCATTTGTCTCAAGACTGACCTCCAACGCCCGTTTGTTGTGAAGATGCCGCGAGCTCTAGGAAAGTCTAGGGCAGCTTCCAAAGCATCTGGCATGCGTATCTTAATTCCTCTTATATCTACTTCCCACCAGACTTAAAGAGGGGAAGGACCCTGTGCGTCACTGCCTGTACGTACCAGCTAAGATGTGACCAGAGGACTCCCAAATAAACAAACGATGTTCTCCAATCTTGTGGGCACAAGGGAAAGGGGACAAGTCCTAAGTGTGTCGCGGATGCGGGGCTGAAAAAGAAAATATCCTCGGAATTTTGCCTTTCGGGATGGAATGGAGAGTTGGGGGATGGGTCACACCCAGGTCACAAAAGCAGGGGCTGGCTGGAGGCTGGCGATGACCTCAGCGCTTGGCATCAGAGACACCCAGGCATTTCCTGAGAGCTGTGTACAAGCTTCTTAGTTCCCTTGCCTACAGTCGCTTCACCCTGCTCTCCAGCGCCGCCTAGAGACCCTTCCGACAGCAGCTCGGAAGGCTCCGGCTAGCCCAGGACTCACCTCCCTTTCAGCCAGCCATCGGATCCTCCCCCTAGCCCGCCTCGGACGTCTCTCGGCCCTGGGGGCACAGCGCGAGTCTCACAGGGAGAGCCAGCCCTGCTTCTACCAAACATCTCTGAGCTCAGAGGAGAAATCAATATAGGAACAGACCTCGGTCATTTTTCTCTGATGAAAAACGATTTAGCCTCTAAAACTATAATACTATAAAATATAGTTTAATCTCAGAAAACAGTAAGTTCAAGAGGCAAAACCGAGAGAGAGAGAGAGAGAGAGAGACAGAGAGAGAAAGAGAGAGAGAGAGAGAGAGAGAGAGAGAAAGGCCAAGAAAACCAGGAGGAAAAGGGGTGAGGCAGGGGAGGGACAGTCGCCCACCCACCACATTCCGGGACTCAATAGCGGTCCCTTCCCCGCTCGCGCTCCGGCACAGTTGGCAACAGTAGGTAAATTCTGGGGGACAGCAGTTAATGTGTTCATCACAGATGCAGAGGATTCTAACGCCAGAGGAAGGAGGCCTATGCTGAGGCTCAGGACAAAGGGTAAGAGTGACAAGCAGAAACACAATCCAGGACCAGCCAGGGAGACTGCCTCCATTTTCACAGGGCATGTTGCTCAGAAAGCCTTTCCTTCGGAGTTCCTTGGTGGTTAGTGTTCGCCTTCTCTCATCCTCCCCCATCCCCTTCCCTCTCTGTTCACTATAAACTCTGCCCCAGACCTATTCTTTATATATTTTAAAATTTAGTCTCTTGTATCTGTCTGTCTTTTGCTCCCTTAGTTTGCTAACTCAATATTTTGTGGTGTCTAAATTGCCTATTCAGGGCTTCATTTCAATTTAGCATCGGTTTTCATCCTTACTCAATATTTTATTATCTAAGACTAGACTCCTGACTTTGTGCTTTGCTTTTGTTGAAAAGGGGCAATGCCCTTGGAATCCTGTTGACCAAGCAGAATAAATATCTTGGAACATTTCCAGCTGTAGAAGAAGGCCGGACCTTCAGCCATGTGGTCTCCTTTGTGCCTGTGGGTTTTCCTCAAGAATCCTTTTGCCAGGTGGTGACACAGACCTTTAGTCCCAGCTCTCGGGAGACAGAGGCAGGTGGATCTCTTGTGAGATGGAGGGCAGCCTGGTCTACCGAGAGAGAGAGAGTTCCAGCCAGGGCTAAACAGAGAAACCCTGTCTCGAAAACCAAAAAACCAAAACCAAACCAAAATAACAACATCAAAAACCCTCTTCTTTAAACAGAAGGAGCTACAGTATAATAAATATATTTTATTGATCACAACTGACTGCCTTCACTCCAGACATTACATATATTCAGGTATTCAAGGCAGAAAGAAGGTAAAAAGGATATGCCAACAATATTTGTCTTTATTTATTTATTTCTTTTCAGGAAGGTAGGAAGTTTCTAAGACACCCTCCAGAAAACCTCTAGCGTTTCAGATGGTGTTCTGGGGATACCTCTAGCCAGCGGGAGGCTGGAAAGGCAAATGCTTCGTTCTTTCACAGCTAAATAAGAAAGGAAAGGAATGACAAAAAAAAAAAAAAAAGGCTAGGCCACCCCAAAGTTTCTCCTCACTTCTATATCTCCTAGGGATGAAGAGCCCAAACAATGAACCTCCACTCTTTTTGTTGTTATTGTTTTGGTTTGGTTTTTCAAGACAGGGTTTCTATGTAAAACAGTCCTGCTCCCCCTGGACTCACTCTGTAGAGCAGGCTGGCCTCAAACTCTCAGAGATCCACCTGCCACTGCCTCCTGGGTGCTGGGATTCAAGGCGTGCGCCACCACCACCCAGGTGAGCCTCCACTCTTAGTGGTCTTCTCTAGCACAGTTCTTACAGTGTTAGATGCTGCGAAGTCCCTCCAGTTTGTGACACAAAAGGCACACCCAGGTTTATCCACCCCCCCATTTGTTTATATGCTGAATGTTTTGTTGAGAACTATTGAGCAGGCACCCCCCCCATTTGTTTATATGCTGAATGTTTTGTTGAGAACTATTGAGCAGGCACCCCCCCCCCCATTTGTTTGTATGCTGAATGTTTTGTTGAGAACTATTGAGCAGGAAGAGACTGAAGTGCCTATGTGTCACGCCATGGTGGTCCAGGGTTGTCTGTAACCTTGACAGTCAACAGTGGGATGGGCCCTTAGTTTCACCAAGGGATTCAGAATGGGGCTAGGCTCAGGGGACGAAAGGGAGAGCGAGAGGGAAAAAGAACGCATGCAGCAGCTACATCACTGAGGTGATGGTTAAGGCCCTGTGGCCCATCAGCTCAGGAAAACAGCCACCAGAGCTTTCCTCCCCAGGCTTAAAGACTTCCCCGCCTCTTCTCTCCTTGCCAGGATGTGTTCTCTGCTTCTGCCTTCCTCCTCTATTTGATTTTATTCTTAACCTACATAATAGGAAATGCATTTTAACTCTCTCTCTCTTTCTCTGTGTGTGTATGTATTAATGTAGGATTCCCCTCTGTATGCCATGAGTATGTTTTATTACCATTGGTTAATAAAGAAGCTGCTTTGGCAGGGGAGAATATAGGTAAACAGGAAAACTAAACTGAATGCAGGGAGAAAGACAGGTGGGTCAGGCAGATGCCATATGGCTGCTGAAGAAAAAAGATGCTGGAACCTTACTGGTTAGCCACAGCCTCATGGCGATACATAGATTAATAGAAATGGGTTAATTTAAGATGTAAGAGTTAGTTAATAAGAAGCCTGAGCTAATAGGCCAAGCAGTGTTGTAGTTCATATAGTTTCTGTGTGATTATTCGGGTCTGGGTGGCCAGGAAATGGATAAGTAGTCTCATTTACAGTGTGTGTTTCAAGACAGGATTTCTCTGTGCAGCCCTGGATATCCTGTATCCTCAAACCTGCTCTGTAGACCAGGCTGGCCTTGAATTTATAGAGATCCACCTGCCTCTGCCTTATGATTGTTGGGATTAAAGGTGTGTGCTACCACCACCACCCAGCTAATTTCTCCCTTTCATAAAGAGAATGCTTTATGTGGCAGAGAGAGAGAGACAGAGAGAGACAGAGAGTATCTGAGGGTGACTCAACTCTCCTGCTTCCTTCTCCCAGGAGTTGGGGTTACAGGGGTTCACCACCACACCTGGCTAGGAAAACCATTCTACATCTCGAAGTTCTAACAGAAAATTCTCTATGAACCTGCAATCCCAAATCCCAAATTAGAAACGAAAAGGCTTTCTTCTTTGAGGTTAGCCTGAACTACACAGTAAGTTTCAGAGCAGAGTGGGAGCTGGGTGGGAAGCAGGGGTGCAGTCACCGAGGAACAGACCCCCCAGCACTGGTCGCTGTCTTTGGCCTGACTTGGGAACAGAGCTGTCTTCTCCTAAGCATTGAAGAGGTACGGAGGGGCTGTAGGCCTTCTTCTGACCACTATGACTGCAGGGAAAGCAAGTGACCCATCGTGCCCATGAAGAACCCTACAAAGCACTCGTGCGTACCTGGGGAAGGAACACACAGCAGTTCACAGTGGTTGTGCAAACGAAGATCCCTCCAGATGTGAATCCAAAGACTAGATTGGGCCAGGAGTGCAAGTATTTGGTGAGCACGAAAATCAGGCCAGCAGTGAGCAGCAGGAGGTTGACTCCGACCATGATGGTCAAGGATTGGTTCACCGGAGGAGAGCTGACATGGTTGGTCAGGCCAGCCAGGTAAGCACCATACAGCAGCAGCAGCCCCTGCAGGAGGAGCAGGAACCACAGGTCAGAGGAGCAGGGTTGGGGCCAGTGTCCTCATCGGTAACACCAGCTAATCATATCTGCCTAAAGATTTGCTATGAGCTCACACTAAGAGACGTCCCTAGAAACCAGGAGATAAATCCTTCTACCTATGGGTTCTGAAAGTCACTTCCGGTTCTTCACTAAGAAGTTTATCAGAGGCTGGCGAACAAGCTATCGGATAATACAACATTCTTTGGGGAGAAGGCACAGAGCCTAGTGGCGGTGCCTAGGAGTTCCACAGATGGGCAGTGGGCATGCGGAAGGCAGGGGAGCCGGCTCCTGCTGTTGTTTATGTCGGGGGAGGGGGGGCGTGCTACATATCCGTTATGGCTTAGCAGTGAGCGAGGCTGAGTGGCATGTGGGAACCAGAAGGGACCTACGGTGCGCTTCTCCAGTCCTGTGCTACAGACACAGGGCAGTGCCAGAGGGAGGGGCTGCTATTTGATTTCCCAGGGTACTCAAAGGCACCATCTGCCTGCCAGACTCTGCACCTGCAGGTCTGCCTCTGCCCGCAAGAGCAGGGTTTTCTGCTCCACACAAAGGAACTCCATAGGCTACCGGTGCTCTGTGCAGCAGGGGTTCTTGGGAGAAGAAAGATGGAAAACGAGGAGAACAAAGGCAGGCTGGGATCCCAGCAAGAAGGAGGGGTGGGACAGCCAGTAGGCGCTACATCTGAACTGCTTTGTGACATTCCCCGCCTCTACCACAAGGAACTGGGGCCCAGCTCTCTCTCTCTCTTCACAAGCAAAAATCTGTCCTCCCGGTTCTCACTTGTACTAGGGAGAAAATGGCGTGGTCCCTGACAGTGCTGTTTCCCCGGGACAGCTGCGCACATCTGGACGTCAAAGTTTTCATCGGCCATCCTCCGTGTACAGATTCTGTATGCACTGGTCTTTCTGACTTGTTCAGAGCACTATGCTACAAACCATTGAGACCAAGGACATTCACAACCAGGCATGATGGGTAACTAGTCATCCCAGCACTAGTGAGGCTGAGGCAGCAGGATTGCTGTGAGTCTGAGACCAGTTTGGGCCACACGTGGAGACCTTGACTCAAAACAAGAGCGATAACATCAGGAGGGCAACAATAGCAGAATGGAGGGCTTGGATGGTAGGGAGAGGAGAGGAGGCCAGCCAAGCCCTTGCTCAGAACTGGAATATGTAGATGCTGTTGGGTATGAGGTGAGGCTGAGAGCTAAGGGGATTTGAGAGAAGGAAAGTCAGGCCAGGTGTCCTGTTGACTCTGACATCACATGACCTGGCCAACTCCAACTGCAGGTATGGCTCTCAGGGGTAACTTTGGAAGCTTTGGTTCTACCAAATGGGGGTGCAGGGTCAAAGCCGCTCACCATCGGATCTTCACTGATGACCCTGGGTACCACTGAGTGCCACTCAGCACTTACATCATTACCAAAGGTGAATAAAATTAATTCTGTGATTCTGAAATGTTAGATATGATTTTCATAAAACAGTTTAGTTCCAATAAGGGAATATTAATTTCATTAATATTCTTGCTAAAAAGGGAAACAGGTATGAGTAAAAGCCAGTGTGCCCATGACTGCTATTTGAGGGTTGTCACACCTGATCCTTGATTGTCATCTGTCTTTTGTTAGCAAGCTTGGGGCGGGGGTGGGGGTCAGCCCTTCTCAGGAGCTCCTTGCTGGCTGGTGCCCCCAGGAGGTCGGCTGAGGTGGTATTCCTTTCCTCATATCTATAGACACTGCGGTAGTAAAAAGAAGCGCCATGGGAACACGCAGAAAATAATGGAGGAGGTGTACGAAGACAGGGTGTGGGGTGGAGGGATGAAGTGGAGGATAAGCTCCAGAATCCAAGAACTGAGATGACCGAGTGCTTCAGAAGTGTCCAGAGGAAGAACAAGAATAATAAGATGGAAAGTTCTGCAGCCCTCGCTAAGGGCAGGGGTGGCTGGAAACTCTAAGCCAGTGAAAGCGGCTCTAAAGGGGCTGTATCTTTGTCCCTACTCCTGGGGGAATATGGCTCCTGGGGGTTAGATGAGGTTGGGGTTCAGCTCAGAAGGAGTTCAGCGCCATTTGGCAGCATTCAGAGGTTCAGTTCCTAACCATTTCCAGGATACAAGCGAGTGATGGCTGTTTGCTTCCTGGATTCTTTAAGAAAAGAAAAAAGAAACACTCCTAAGTCAGTTACAGTGAGTCACATTGTGAGTTCAAGGACAGCCTGGCTTATACAGCAATTAGGGCTGCATATAAAGACCCTCAATAAACAAAGTTCCTCCCTGAGAAACCCACCCCAAACAGAAAAACAAATCATAATATGAGAGAAACTGATCTCAGTGATTTGTCAGTAGACTGAAAGAAGGCCCATGAGGAGTTGCAAAAGTGCCCCTCCAAATGTAAACGGTGAAGAAATAAAAGGTTCACAGTTTGGGACTTCCGCATGAGCTCAGGCTGGCTCTGAGCTTACCATTCTCTATCATCTCTATCCATGAATAAATCTCTTTAATTCGCCATTCTCTTTCCAAACCCATCTTATTGGAGACGGCCTGTAACCTGTGGAGTTGTCGTACCAACCTTGCATCCCCAAACCAGAGCAATCCAGACATCGGAGTACCGCGAAGCACAGGTGTGTGTGTTGGTCAAAGAGCAGGACACATCTCTCCCTGTCACCTGTGAGGGACACAGGATCAGAACCAAGGGCATTTAATTCCTGGGACCACACAGCAGAGCTCTGTGAACTTCCAGGGGTATAAACTCCTCCCTAGCAGAGAATTTCCCTGCTCAGTACATAAAAACGGGAGAAAAATGTAGAAAAGTTTACGTTCTGTAGAACCTAAACCAGAGTGCCTGAGTGAGAGGGAAGGGAAAGAAAGGTGGGTGGCTAGAGACACTGGGCCACTTCGGGGCTTACCTGAGGGTGTGGGCTTTGCTACCACGGTGGCTTCAGACAGCACCTCAGCAAAATTACAAGAGTATTCTACATCGTGAACCATTATTCAAAAATAGTCTTCACTGACCCTTGCAGTATCGATTCCATTCAGCCCTGTATCTGAACTCTTTCTCCTAATCTTCACTTGAGCTCAGTGAAGAAGGTGATCTTGTTACCTCCTCCTTACCCCTCTCTCTGGAAAGGAGAGGTTTGCAGCCTTCCCCCAGGAGCACGGCTGGTGCAGGGTGTGATTTGAACTGAAGAATACAGAGACAGCCGCAAGACATCACCTGTATCTCTCAACAGGGAGTGGAAGGCAACTAACTCCCTAGAGCAGGATGTTCTCATCAGTGACTGCAAGCCCAGAGCGAGTTGTCAGGCAGATTCCCCAAGCACTGACATCTGGGAGGACACCCACGAGAAGATCAGGGACACGAGGAGCATTGTGGGTGGCAGCACAGCCTGCAGACACGTGACAGGGTGCCCAGGGCAGCCAGGACTCCTGATTTCTCTGCAGGACAGCTGTTCAGTGAGTGCTGCTGACATGAGCACCAGCCCACATGAAGAACCAGAAGGCTTAGGGATAGGCCCTCACCTTCATGCTCACACCAAGGATCTGGAGGCACTGGATGGGATCAGTCAGCACCCACGTGACAAGCAGGATGACATCAGCCACCACCAGGACTGCCACCAACCCCAGCAACTGCAGGTCTTTGATAATCTGCAAAAGAGTCACGGTCAAAATGTCTCCTCAATTGCTGACTGTATTTAACACGATTGCAAGAGTGTGCCCTGTGTTCAGAGCTGTGGGCTATAGTAACAGCGCTCCATAGGACCCAGCCATCAACGCCACCACCACTAGCCCTGTTTAGAATGAGGCTGTAAGACTGAATGCCTCCTCATAAGTATTCAGTTATTATTATTGGTACCACTAAACATTTCCATTTGTTTAGCATTTTGTTTGTTTATTTTGTTTTTGATTTTCAAGATAGTTTCTCTTTGCCCTGGCTGTCCTGGAACTTGCCCAGTGGACCAGGCTGGACTCAAACTCAGAGCTCTACCTGCCTCAACCTCCTGAGTGCTGGGATTAAAGGTGTGCACCACCACTCAGCTGGTTTAATATTTTGATGTTCTAACTTTTCTGGCAGAGGTTTCCAGGGGTCTTATAAAGGAAGCTCACTTTTATTTCTAGATGTAGCTCTATGAGCACGTAGAGAAATGGAGAGGTTTTACTGCCAGACTTCGCCATTAGCTCAGGCATGGGATTAAAAGATGAAGGAATTATTAGCATTTTTCTATAATTTTACTAGTACGAGAGAATGTTTTTTTTTATTTATTGATTTTTATTGAGCTCTACATTTTTCTCTGTTTCCCTCCCTACCTCCCCCCTCCCCTTCAACCTTCTCCCAAGGTCCCCATGCTCCCAATTTACTCAGGAGATCTTGTCTTTTTCAACTTCCCATGTAGATTAGATCTATGTATGTCTCTCTTAGGGTCCTCATTGTTGTTTAGGTTCTCTGGGATTGTGATTTGTAGGCTTATGGTGAGTACATGTGATAATTGTCTTTCTGGGTCTGGATTACCTCATTCAAAATGATGTTTTCTAGCTCCATCCATTTGCCTGCAAATTTCAGGATGTCATTATTTTTTCCTGCTGTGTAGTACTCCATTGTGTAAATGTACCACATTTTTATTATCCATTCTTCTGTCGAGGGGCATTTAAGTTGTTTCCAGGTTCTGGCTATGACAAACAAAGCTGCTATGAACAAAGTAGAGCTCATGTCCTTGTGGCACTACTGAGCATCCTTTGGATATATACCCAAAAGTGATATTGCTGGGTCTTGAGGAAGGTTGCTTCCTAATTTTCTGAGAAATTGCCACACTGACATCCAAAGGGGCTGTACCAGCTTGCACTTCCACCAGCAATGAAGGAGTGTTTGTTTCTTTACCCCACATCCTCTCCAGCATAAGTTGTCATCAGCGTTTTTGATCTTGACCATTCTTACATTTCTTTATTTACATATGAGGGTGCCCTTGTACTTGGGGCATAGATGTTCAGTATTGAGATTTCCTCTTGTATGCAGCAGAAGGATGGATTCTGTTTTTGTACCCAATCTGTTAGCCTGTGTCTTTTTTATAGGGGAGTTGAATCCATTTATATTAAGGGATATTAAAGACCAGTGATTGTTATCTTATGTTAATTTAGTTTAGTTGTTGGTGATGTTAATTTATGTGTTTTCCCCTTCTTTGGGATTTGCTGTTGTGAGTTCATCTATTATCTGTGTTTTTGTTGATGTAGCCAACTTCCTTGGGTTGGAGTTTTCCTCCTAGTACTTTGTGTAGGGTTGGGTTTGTGACTAGGTATTGGTTAAATCTGGTTTTGTCATGGAATATCTTGTTTTATCCTTCTACAGTGACTGAAAGTTTTGCTGGGTCTAGTAGTCTGGGCTGGTATCCATGTTCTCTTAATGTCTGCATAACGCTTGACCACAACCTTCTGACTTTTATTGTCTCCAATGATAAGTCAGATATAATTCTGATAGGTCTACCTTTATATGTTTCTTGGCCCTTTTCCTTTGCAGCTCTTAAAAATCTCTCTTTATTCTGAATGTTTAGTGTTTTGACTATTATGTGGCAAGGGGACTTTTTTTTTTTGATCCAGTCTATTTGGTGTTCTATAAGCTTCTTGTATCTTCATAGGCATATCTTTCTTTAGGTTGGGAAAGTTTTCTTTCATGATTTTGCTAAATATATTTTCTGTGCTTTTGAGTTGAACTTCTCTTTCCTCTATATCTGTTATTCTTAGGTTTGACCTTTTCATGGTGTCCCATATTTTCTGGATAATCTGTGTTAAGCTTTTGTTAGATTTAATGTTTTCTTTGACTGATGAGTGTATTTCTCTATTGTATCTCAGTGCTTGAGATTCTCTCTTTCATCTCTTGTATTCTGCTGTTTATGCTTGTTTGTGGTGCCTGATTGTTTTCTCATGATTTCTGTTTATATAATTCCCTCAGCTTGTGCTTTCTTTATTGTCTCTATTTCAGTTTTCAAGTCTTGAATAGTTTCTTTCATATGTTTGATTATATTTTCCTGGTTTTCTTTAAGGGATTTGCTGATGTCTTGCAATTTTTTGTTTGTCTTTTCCACCATTTCTTTGAGGGAATTCCTCATTTCCTCTTTAAGAGTCTCAAACATTTTCCTGAAGTTATTTTTTATGTTATTTTCTTCTCTTTCATCTATATTTGGTTGCTTGAATCTTGCTGTTGTAGGGTCTTTAGGTGTCATTTTGCTCTTTGTGGTGTTGTGTGTGTTCTTACCTTGTCTGCTTGTCTTTTCCTCTCATTGGTATGGTTGGGGCTGTCTAGAACTTTGGTGATTAATCTTGGTGGATCCAAGGCTCAGATGGCTGTTCCTCATGGTACATGGTACATGAACACCATGTTCCTAGAGGTCACTCAGCATTCCCCGGGTTTGCTCTTCTCCGTAGAGTTTGCTGTCTCAGGCCTGCTCTGGTCTAGGTTGCCAGCTCAGACATGTTTCTCTAAATGTCCCTGGTCTGGATCTGCTCCTGCAGAGGTCCCTGGCTTGGGGTTGATCCTGCAAAGGTCTCTGGCTCTGATCTACTCCCTTGGAGGTCCCAGACTCATGCCTGGACCTGCAGAGGTTTCTGGTTCCTGCCTACTCTCTCAGAGGTCCCAGACTGATGCCCAGACCCACAGAGGTCCTGGCTCAGGTCTACTCCCTCAAAGGTCCTAGATTCACACCTGAAACCCCACAGTAGTCTCTGGCTCTGGCCCAGGTTGCTGGCTCAGTCCTGCCTTGCAAATGCCCCTGGTCTGGATCTGCTCCTGCTCCCATGGAGCTTGCCATCTCAGGCCTGCTCAGGCCTATGTTGCTGGCTCAGTTCCCTCCTGTGGAGCTTGCTGCCTCAGGCCTGTTCCAGCCTAGGTCACTGGTCCCAAGAGCTCTTTTACAAATATGTATTCATGTATTGTGTTATATGTGCATGTTCATACACTCAGAGGAAGGCCAGCTTGTGGAAGTTGGTTCTCTTCTTCCATCACATGGGTTTTAGAGATCAAATTCAGACCATCAAACTTGGCAGCAAGCGCCTTTACTCACTAAGCCTTCTCAGTACCTGGGCTCTTCATTTCTGCAGAGTCAAAATCCCACTATCATCTGTCCAAGCAGTCACCGGGATCCCTTTTCCATATTAAGTAGTTGCAGTCACTGCTACTTCAAGGCTGCTCACATCTCTCCTCTCTGCATGCGTCCTATAGCAGGTTCCTGGCAAGTCCATTTCCCTTTCACACTGCACTAAGGGTCAGCATGAGCGGCAGAGACAGGTGCTCATCTTGGACTCTTTCGTTTTATGAAGTGAGAATGTTTTTTTATGACAATAAATCTTAAACTTTTTATGACAATTTAATAAAAGTATGTATAACACTGTTGATTTTTTATGTTTAGTTCTTTATATATTCTAGCTAACTATCTAATTGGTAAAGTGTTTTCCATTCTGTAGGCTTCTGCTTTGTCCAAATGATGGTGTCCTTTCCGTACAGAAGTTTTTAGTTTCACAAAGTCCCGTTTATTAATTGTTGGTCTTAATGCCTATGGTGTTCATTCAGAAAGCCTCTACCTGTGTCAGAGAGTCCAAGCCTATTCCCACTTTCTTTTCTACCAGTTCAGGGTATTTGGTCTAATGTTGAGGTCCTTGATCTATTTGGAGTTCCGTTTTCTACAGGGTGATGGATGTGGTAGATCCACGTTCTTGACAACCACCAAAGAAAAGAAGCAAGCTAGTTATAAAGTTCGCAAGAGCAAGATAAACTTTGCTTAATCAAATTGCTCACAAGAGAAACCACTGCTAGCAATTAGGGGAAAAAACAAACTCTGTACGGAGAAGCAAAGATCAGGAGTCAGACCTCACCATATAAGGTCAAGTGAGAAGACACTGGGAGAGATCATCTTCATCCATGTACGGAAACAAAAGGAAACATTCGAAGGTTGGGATGCAGCTAGCGGTAGATCCACTGCCTAGTGTGAGTGGCTCTGTTCTCCACCCCCAACACTACACAACAATCAAGTGGCACTATATCTTTTGGAAATACAGTCACAATAAAGACATTTTCAGTCCTATGAAGCTGAAAGAGTTCAGCACTTCTACACTCACACTAGAACGTTTTTAATCCTTCAGATCAAAAGGGAATGATACCAAATAAAAATGAGGATATAAGGCTGAGGGTGGTGATATACTTCTTTAATTCCAGCACTTGGGAGGCAGAGGCAGGTGAATTTCTGAGTGGCAGGCCAATCAGGGCTACATAGTGAGACCTCATCTCAAAAAACAAACAGACAAAATGTGTACAGGAAATTAAGAGCACTGGAAATGTCAACTATTTAGGAAAATGTGTGATTTATTTTTCCTAAATAACTTTACGAGATAGTTGTTTAATAAAAATTACAACAACTGAGTGGGGCTTATAGTACATGTAAAAATGAAAGCAATAGCATGCAGAATAGAATGAGAAGAAAGGGAAGTGCACAGCTGCATGGTGACAAGTGCACAGCAATAGCGCACAGATTGGGATGAGAAGAAAGGGAAGTGCACAGCTTCATGGTGAGAAGTGCACAGCAATAGTGCACAGATTTGGATGGGAAGAAAGGGAAGTGCACAGCTTCATGGTGACAAGTGCACAGATTGGGATGAGAAGAAAGGGAAGTGCACAGCTTCATGGTGAGAAGTGCACAGCAATAGTGCACAGATTGGGATGAGAAGAAAGGGAAGTGCACAGCTTCATGGTGACAAGTGCACAGCAATAGTGCACAGATTGGGATGAGAAGAAAGGGAAGTGCACAGCTGCATGGTGAGAAGTGCACAGCAATTTTACCATTGTCTACAAAGCTCTCTAGAAACCGAAGAGAAAAGAATCCTATCCAGCTCATTCTACAACATCAGAATTACCCTGATACCCAAACTGGGCAAATGAATGCACTGTAAGACAAGAAAACTGCAAAGCAATAGCCGCTAAAAGCATAAGTGTGCAAATCCAAACAAAATTATCATAAAGAGGAATTCTAACAAACAGAAAGCATATAACAGCGCATGACCAACTTAAATTTACCCAGGAATACAAGTCTGTTTGGGCATCCTACAATCATTTTAACACAATCCATCATATGAGCAGATCAGACAAGAAAATAATATGACAACTTCAATAGACAAGGAAATTTGTTAGACAAAACCCAACACCAATATTGATAAAAATTATCAGGAACCTAAGGGGGGAAACAAAAACCTTCCGCAAGTGGAAAAACAGAGTCTATGAAACTGCAGCCAACACCCATGCTTTGTTTGTTCTTTAAAATGTTTTTATTAGTATACATTAATTATACATGATAATGCAACTCATTATGACATCTTCATGCATGCATATGATGATTCTTTTTGTTGTTTGTTTTGTTTTTGAGACAGGGTCTTGCTTTGGCTGGCCTCAGACTCACCAAATTCCTGCCTCTGCTTCCCAAGTGTTAGGACTACTGGGATAAGCCACACACCCAATCCATGCTTAGTATGGAAGGGCTTCCCCATCGGCCAAGAATAATTGAAGGAAGCTGGAAAGCGGGCTTATCCTTTAAGAGGGCCAGAAGAGGCCCAGTTTCCAGCATCCATGTGGAGCCTCACAAATATCTGCAACGCCAGTTCCAAGGGATCTGATGCCCTCTTCTGGCCCCCTTGGGCACTGCATGCACACGGTGCACAGATATACAAGTGGTCAAGACACACATATTTATATAAAATAACAACCATTGAAGGATATTTTACTCATCACTTCGGTTTGAAGTTGTACTATTGCTTTTTCCAGTTCTCCCAGAAAAGAGCTCTTTACTTACGGGTGATGTGACAACAATGCAGAGAATCTAATGGAGTCTATTAAAGAATTGCTGGAAGAGCTGGGCAGTGGTGGCGCACACCTTTAATCCCAGCACTCGGGAGGCAGAGGCAGGCACATCTCTGTGAGTTTAAGGCCAGCCTGGTCTACAGAGTGAGTTCCAGGACAGGCTCCAAAAGCTACAGAGAAACCCTGTCTCAAAAAACCAAAATTAATAATAATAATAATAATAATAATAATAATAATAATAATGAAGTTGCTACAAGTCTGCACATGCTAGAATGACTATAGTAGTCTGGCATTTTGGAAGCTGAGACAGGAAGACCACCATGAACCCAAGGCAAGCCTAGACGACAGAGGTCAACTTGGTCTATATTATGAGACCGTCTTAAAAAACGACACTGCTAGAACTCTTATGGAATTTAGCAAGGTTGAGATATACATGGTCAGCACCAAAACCCATCTGTCTGTCTGCATCTGAGCAAAAATCAATATAAAAGTATAGTTTACAAAACAATAAAACATTCAACATATAACAACTTAAAGAGTAATAAATCTGGAAAAATACGTGAAAGCTCTATACTGAGAAATACACAATATTGCTGAGATAAATTAATAAAAACCTAAATGGGTGGAGACATGTACAGTAGTTATAGATTAAAAACCATCATTGTTAAGAAATCAATTCTCAATAGTTTAATCTTAGATTCAAAGCGTTTCCCATCATAATCCAAATGTGATTTTTACACAGATTGGCAAACCACTTTAAAGCTTTGTTTGCGAGCTGGTGAAATGGCTCACAGGTAAAACTGCTTGTCAGCAAGCCTGATGACCTGAGCTGGTCCCCCGGTCTCACATGGTGAAAGGAGAGAGCCATACATACGCCGTGGCCAGAGTGCCCATTCTGTCACACACACACACACACACACACACACACACACACACACGCACATGCGCGCACACGCACACGAAAAAAAAAACTCTAAAATTTCTAGAAGTAAACTCAGGAGAAAAAATAAAAATTTTGATGACACCGATGAGGCAAATATTTCTTATATTTAATAACCAAAGCATGAGCTATGAAGAATAAGTTAGCGCTGGAGTGGGACACACATCTATAATTCCAGTACTCAGAAAGCAAAGGCAGGCAGATCTCTGTGAATGCAAGGCCAACCTTGAAGTGAGTTGTGAGTTACACACAAGCTAGGGCTATCCAGTGAGACCTCACCTCAAAAACAAAAACAAAACAAAAACGTGCAGAACAAAGTTAAATACACACTGGCTATGTGCGCCAACCATTCTCCTCTCAGGTTTTGAGCAAAGAAAATGGAAGCATGTATCTATGCAAATATGAGGATATGAATGTTCACACCATCTTTATCTGTATTAGTCCCAAACTGCAAACAACTCCAACTCCATCAGTGGACAAACAGATAAACTACTGCTGGACACAGCAATGTGGATGAGTAATTACATTCAAAATAATTACATGAATAAAATAAACCAGATTAAATGAGAGTACCCACTGCATGGTTCACAGCAGGCAGTCTTCCCACTGAAATACGTCACCAGCAGCAAAATTGTATTTTCATTTATTTATTTAATTTTGAGATAGGGTCTCATGTGTTCTTACTATATGGCTAAGGATGACTTTGAACTTTTGTTTCTCTTCAACGATTTGTTTTTAGGTGCTGGAGAGATGGCTCAGTGGTTAAGAGTACTTGCAGAAGATCTACATTTGGTTCCCAGCACACAAGTAGTGGCTCACAGCCATCTGTAACTCCGGTTCTGCGGGATCTGATGCTCGATTCTTACCTCCTTGGTCACAGGCACACACATGGTGCACATACATACATGTAGGCAAAGCACTTACACACATAAAATAAATATAAAATTTGTTTTTTTAAAAAAAGATTTATTTTTAGTTTTAAATTAAACACATGTGTGCACTTTTGCGTAGGTGTGTGCGCATGCCCAACATGGGTGCTGACAACCCACTGTGTTAACTGCTCAGCTATCTCTCCAGCCCATGATTCTACTGATGTAAAACCCTGGAAAAGGAAAACCAGTCTTTAATGCTGGAAACCAAAACAGTGATGTCCTCGGGATAAGGAGGGACAATGTAACAATGTGACGATGTAACAATGTGATGATGTAACAAAGGGCAGAGGATGCTGAGAGTCTGGGGATGGTGATGTTTGCAGGATCACATGTTTCATGGGTTGACATAATACCACACTTTTTTATTCAGGAGAGAGAGCTAATACAGTCCCTCACTACCACAAATTATGCAGCCGAGTTTCCTGTGTGTGTGGAAATCTCAGGAGTCAGCTCACCCTAAGTGTGTGAGCCTTTCTCTGGAAAAACCTGATCATGGTGTTCCCCTGCCAGGTAAGTATCTTGTCACACTTTTAATATTGTATTTCCTGTGTGTCAATTCTGCCTAAAAGAAAGAAAGAAAGAAAGACAACAACAACAACAAAAAAACCCCATAGTTTTGAATCCGTCCTTTTAGCCAACTTTCTGCATCTGTGTGCTTAAAGCAAAACTTTTGCTAAGTAGCCACCGTGATCCAATAATGTTTGCTTTTTAACATCCCATAATTACAGAGAAGCAGTCTGACAGAATTAAATATAAAAGTCTGGGGAGTCTCTAGCCAAAGAGACTCATGGTCTGGGCAGTCATAATCAGGGAATCTGATAAAATGGAGGAATATAGTTATAATAAATGCTGGATGTCAGGGCCATGCGGATGACCTAGCTGCTGCAGGGCTTGCTCAGTCAATTCTTCCTGCTGAGTCCCTTTTATGCTCACTGCTTTAGCTATGCCCTTCTCTGGGCAGAAAATTGCCTGTTTAAGAAAGACCTGCACCCTAGGGAGAGGAATCGTTCTGCTTCTTGCTATAGCTTCTCTGCACTCCCTCTTTCACTTACAGCTCCTATCTGTGCCAAGAGCCAGTCTCTGGGCATCTTGTTTTCATTCCCATTGTGCCAGGTACTGGCCAGCTCACAGGTTCCCGTGGAGCCTGGTGTACTTAAAGCAGCCCATGTTCCCAGATGTAGTTCCCGGCTGCGCTCACTCTCAGACCTAGAAGTCTGGGCCTTTACGGAGCCACATCACTCTAAGGATTGAAGAGAGGAGCAAGAATTCCAGCCATCCTATAGTTATCCTAGAGATCTGTACTAACTTTCTCAGCTCTGAGCCTCCATGGAGCTCCTGCTGCCACCCAGCATTGTGTACCGGCTGTCCAACTCACCACTCTCTTGTCGGGGACCCTCTGGGTGAAGACCTTGTAGAGTCGCCAGCTCTTCCCCAGAATAGGGCCGAACACAAGGGATGTCCCAATGCATAGCATGGACAGTCTCATCTGAGGGCAAACGAGGACAGAAGCAAGAGTCACGGTGGAACCTTCCTCCATCTTCAACATCTCAGGTCCACAGAGGATGGGGGATAGAAAGTGGGCCTCACTGAATGTGCCCATAACACGGACACATAGCTATAACACAGATACACAACTGTAACATGGATACACAACTGTAACGCAGATACATAACTATAGCATGGATACAAACTACAACATGGATACATATCTACCACTCACAGAAAGAGCCATGATCATGGAATATCATCAAAATCTAACATGGTGTCCGAAACAAAATTTCAAAGTGTCACCTACCTGAACGAGCGCTTCCATTGAATTCCCCACTGAAGCATCTTGAATCCCAAAAAGGTAAGCACTACTGTAAGTCAGACAGCTGCCCAGTAAGGTCACAATGTTCAGATTGGGGCTGGACATCTTCACAATCCTGGGTGGGAATAGGAAGAGTGGCATAGCTGTGACCCATTGAGCCCGTGTCGAAGGCATGCCAGAGCAATGTCCTTCTAAGGACAATCCCCACTGCAGCCCTGTCACTGGGGAGGAGCCACTGTGCACCCTCCAAGAAACTTATGGTTTATTTACATGCATTTAAAAACAACCAAACCCTGGTTTGCTTTATTTTTTATGTTTTGAGATAGGACCTATTGTAGCCCAGGCTGGCCTTGAACTCCTGTCTCTCTTGTCTCTATCCTGTGCTGGTATGGCAGGCACGTGCCAATATGTCTAATTTAAAAAAGAAAAAAATTTATATGCCGGATGTCATGGTGCATGCCTTTAATCCCAGGACTTGGAAAGCAGAAGCAGGCTGATCTCTGTGATTTCAAGACCAGCCTGTTCTGCAAAGCAAGTTTCAGGACAGCTAGGGCTGTTACACAGAGAAATCCTGTCTCAAAACAAACAAACGAAACACCAAAAATGTCTCGAAAGTTTTATTTTATAAATACGAATGCTTTGTCTACATGTATGTATGTGTGTGTATCATGTGTGCACCTCATGCCCACGGAGAACAAAGAAAGGCATCTGATTCCTCAGAGCTGGCGCTATGGAGAGCAGTGAACCAACTATGTAAGTGCTGGATACTGAACCCCGGTCCTCTGCAAGAGCAACTCGGAACTGTTGAGCCGTCTCCCCAGCCCTCCTGGCTTTTAGTTTCTTGAACCCAAATTCTTGTATCTCTTGCTTTTATAACAGAGACTTTGAAAGGAAGGCTGACCATCGACACACAGATGACGCCAGAGAAGGGCGAGGGCTTGGTCGGTGAAGTTGAGGCTGTTAAGGGACAGGCCAGCGTATGGGAGCCACAGCCCGTGGGTGCACAGGGGGACAGCGTGGGGCTTGCAGAACTGAGCTGTAAAGGAGACTACTGTTTGCAGAGGGGTCTGGGTTTCTTTACAAACACTCATTGTTACACGCACACATTGCTTTTCTTTCTTCACTTGACTGAAACAAGAGGCAGCAGAGATTAAAATAGGGGATTAAGTTAGGGTCGTTTTTAGGAGGGGGCAAAACGAAGTCAGTGGTGGATGGAGAATGCAGATAACTGGGGTCTTAGACAAAGTTGGCACGGGCAGAGGCTCCGGGTGTGATATCAATCTAAGGCAGAAATCAGGCTGATTTTGTGGATCACTGATGTGTGAGCTTCTGTAAGACCCTTTTCCATTAGCCTCCCACAAGCTCCTACACATAAGCCATGACCACAATGGCGGCCCTCTCATGACTTCCTGCCAGGACCTCGTAGCTAAACGTCTGCTTGTCTACATCACTGACAAACAGCTTTGCAGCCCAGCTCAGCTTGGCACCTACCTTGTTCGAACGCCCTACTTTGGTCTCATTTGCACAATCCAGTATTTCACAGATCCTAATTTGGAATTCTCCCCCTTTCTGACTTAGTGAAGAGGAGCCCTGTCTAGTTATTTCTAAGGAACTAGGCATTCTCTAGCATTCATGTCTCAAGCCCTGGTGTAAACCCCTTGTCCAGGTAAACATGCCTTGGACCCAGACGTGAATTTTTTTTTTTTTTGGTATTTTTTTCTTGAGAGGTTTTTACTGAGGGTATCTCATAAAAGAAAACATGAATAGGAGATGATTAACCTGTTTAGTTTGGCTGAGTGAGTGAACATCTGTGAAGCCATGTAAGTGTCAATCAGCTCCAATTCAGTAGGTAATGACTTGTCTGGGGACCTTCTTTGCTGTGTGGGGAGGTATTCAGCCACCATGTCATTTTATTTTTCTATTGAACTAAATGATGAAGTCTGCAAAGCTGAATGTCTTCCCTCATCTACCAACATGCAGAAGATTTTATAATGCCAGGAGAGTTGGGCCTCATGAGGCCCCGAGTAACTTCCTGAGCCTAACTTGAGTTTGAGGAGAGAGGAGTGACTCAGCACAGCCTGACCTAGCCCCGCCTCTGTCTAGTCACCACTGACGTGGCAGGATATTATTGGCCCCTATTCCTCACTCCACTACCTCAGCCCTATATAAGTTCCTGCCCTGAGGCAATCAAGTGAGCTGCTGCTTTAACAGACTCCCACTTCAGTGTGTGTTTCTCCTCAGTGGCCAAGGGGGAGGTCTGGATTGTCAACACTCACCATCCTGCTCAGCCCCAGGGAGAGATCAGCTGGAGCCACTCTGCCTCAGCCCTATCTGCTGGAGAACCCGGCACAGGAGATTTAAATATTACACACTTAGTTACAATGACATGACTTGTGTTGCACGTACCAAGAGTTGAAAGTCTAGACTAGGTGACTAGCAGTCAGAAAACAAGGTGTTGGGGGGTGTTGGGGATTATATAACAATCTTTTTTCTTTTCATACTTATTTATCGACTAGAAACGTGAGACAAGGATTTTCTCAATTTTTCTGTTCTCCAGTAGACTCAGGTCATGCAAACAAACATGTAGGTCTTGTATTGTCACTCTTGTGGTCTAGTAGACCCAGGAACTGTGGCATTCACCAGCTCAAACACTGGCCTCTGAGCTAGGGGACTTTGAGAGTTACTGAATTTGGAAACACAGTTCAAGGTTGTGTCTGGGATGTATCTGGGCAAGTTATGGCTAGGCTAGAAGGAAACTTCCCTTAAAACATCACAGGGCACACTTTATATGACGCGTCATGAGTTGATGCAAAGGCTAACACTGAGTAGCTTGGTTCTGTTTAAATTTATGGGTATGGATGTTTTGCATGTGTGTATGGATGTCTGTGCACCAGTTGTATGTCTGGACAGGAACAGGCACCAGATTCCCTGGAACTGGAGTTACGGACATTGGTGAACCGTGTGGGTGCTGGGAGGAGTTGAACCTGGGGCCTCTGGACTGCAGTGAGTAGTATATGCTCTTAACCACTGAGTCGTCTCTCCAGCCCCTATCACTGAGCTCCGTCACAGCTAAAACAAATACAGGAGTCATTCACAGCTCGGCAGTGGAAAAAATTTATTTCTGAGAATCTGTTGAGTTTTTCATTCAGTCTGCTAATTTGATCATATTATGTTACATACAATAAGATTATAAATGTATGTCATACACAACTCCAGCTTTATTATGTGACCTGCTGTCATGCCACAGATCTGATCTGCTGCCGTTTTGTCGATTTGGTTTGAGTTCATCAATCCAAATCCTGCACACCTCACGCTAACACTATAGCGTGACCTCTAACTATTGGGCTTCACGCCTGTGCCGGCCTGCGGCTTCATCCCACCTGGGCCTCCTTAGAGGACCATCCAGAGAGGTCAGTGTAACCTTTCAGCTCCCTGGGCTCTACATCCGCTCATCAGAACGATTTCATTTTATTTTGCTTCAGGGTCTCTGGATCCTTTGTCTCATCATTTGAAAGAGTCCTACTTTCAGGATTCTGAAACATAAATATACTCCCCCACCCCACCCCACCCTCATTAAGATAGGGCCTCACTGTGTGTCCCTGGCTGCTCTGGAACTTGCTGTATGTTCCAGGCTGACATTGAACTCACAAAGACCCACCTGCCTCTGCCTTTGCCTGGGATCAAAGGTGTGTACCACCGCATCTGGCGCTCTCTCTCTGTCTCCCTCCCTCCCTCTCTCTCTAAACCACAGTCCATTCAGAATTTAACTCTTTGTCTTCTTCCATATGTTGTTATCTGCCATCCTTCTCCAGCTCAGCACACGAACTCCATCTTTCTGTTTGCTTGGATCAAAAACCTTGAAGTCATTGCTGACTCTTTACCTCCCACATCCAATCTGTCTTGAAGTCTCATTCTGGAAATACAAGCAGAACCCAGCTACTTCTCACTACCTCTACTGCCACCAACTGATCAAAGTCTTCCTTGCAGCGGCCTAACTGCTCTCCCAGCTTCTATCCGGGAACTTCCTTCTCAATCACTGGAAGCCAGAGGGGGCCAGGAGCTGGCTTAACGTCCACGTGTTAGACAAAGAGGGCACGTGTTGGGGAACAGAAGTGGCTTCCAGGTGTCTCTGCGGACTTTCATGGAATGGTTGAGACTTCCCTGCTGTTAGTGCACACAGAAAGATCAGAGTTATTTTAGGGCTGTGAGCGCTGTGGAGTTCTGTAGACCAGACTGGAGTCCTCACTGACAAGCCTAGTTGTGTGGGTGAGCCTCTCCCGGGCTTCCCTCCCAGCATGGTGCTGAGAGAAGCCCGGAAATAGAGAAGCCCGGAAATAGACGAGAGATCCTAACCTGGTGTCTGTGCAGCTCCGTGCTCCCCCACCCTCTGTTTCTAGGGAACCGCAGCGTCTGTGGCAGGATGGCTTCACATATGCACATGCGCACGTAGGTTCACGGTCTCCAATGAGATCAGTCTCCTCCAAAGTGCCCCTTCCATTGGCCAAATCCTTCCTGGAGAATTGTCCTAGGAAATGCTTCTGTCTAACCCATCTCCCAGGTCACGCGGCCAAGAGGGCCCCGAGGGCCCAGCAGACCTCATCTTGATGACCACACATCCCACGTCTCAGCTGACATTAGTGACAGAAGTGAACGGCGCACATTGCTCTCCCAGACTTCAGAAAACCTGCTGATCTTGGATGGCCTTGCTGCTTGCAGCTGGCAAGGAAGCTTGAGTGCCCGGTGGCCTGGCCTCTCTAAGCTCACTTGCTTTTTAAAGCAAACTCAGTGCTTGTACAGCTTTGTCTAATCCAAAGAGCGAAATTCCCAACCACCAACCTGTCATTTGGACCCACAGTCACTGACTCCATAAAGGACCTGGAAGCAGAAGGCTACAGGATAGCTGCGTAGCTAGCAGCAGTGGGACCCAATGAGACCCAGGGTCCCTTCCAGCTCTTCCCTTTAGCCACAGAATCTTCTCCTGCCGCTAGCTTGTCAGCAAGCTAGTCACGTGCATTTCTGCCTCAATTCCTTAGCCTGTAAAGCAGACTGACCTGGTTTCCAGAGATGTGGTGGGTTTTACAGCCCGATCACCTGATCATCCAAATAAAAGCTTTG